CCCCCCCCCACACACACACACACATACATGCACGCGGACGCATGCGTACAGGGGGATGGGGCCGCACTCGCTCCGGGCCCGGGTATCCCCTCCCCCACTGCCCCCGGTGCCGAAAATCCGGCAGGACCGCCAAGGGCGGGGCAGAGACGAGGGCTCCCCTCCTTTGTCCACAATCTCCGCCCGTGTGATGAGTACCAGGCATCAGGCATCCGATCACACACACACACACACACACACACACACACACACACACACACACACACACACACACACAAGGATGCTCCCTCGTGCATGGTCGTCCTTCAGCGGGAAGGCCCAAAGCCTGGTGCCCGCCAAGACGCCAACTTCCAGAAGTCCGTGCACCAAAGAGACACGGACAAGCTGGCCACAGCACAGGCGCCCGAAGGGCAGGCCCCGCCGGCACCCGACTGGGCAAAGAGACGCGAAAACACATTTGTGGGGACATTTGTGTCGGGGTCATGGAGCGCGGTCCGCGTGCCTGCGTCCATAATTTCTGGCGTGTTCACGTGAGTGGCCGGAAGTACATCGCCGCCAATGTATCACGTCGTGCATTCTGGTCTCCGGCCTTAACTAATCAAGGCGCCCCAAGTATCAGAGTGCGCCCTTCGAGCCGCGGGGCGGGCGGGGGGGGGGGGGGGGTGCGCATCGGTACGCTCCACCCCATGGGGCGGCCGTTGGCATCTCGACCAAGGCCCACTGGCGTTGTGGACTACACAACGGCAGAGGACTCCTCGCTTCGGGGCGGATGCCCCCGCTCCAAGGGGTCCGGGAGATGGCATGGATGATAGAAACCGGGCTTCACTCCCGTACAAATACACCCACAACGCACACGCACACAGCGCCCATAACCGCCGGAGCAGACGCGGGCACAGGGACAAATGTAGAAAAAATAAATCCCCACCAACAGCCATGCCGCGATGGACCAGGCAAAAAGGCCCCTGGCTGTCTCCCAGGGCAGATGTTTGAGAGGGACGGGGAGGGGGGCCCGGGACCCGGGGCCGGGGGCCGGGGGCAGACACGCCGTGTGGGCCGTCGAGAAGCGGCGTCGGCTCGGCTAGCAAGCCAGTCGGTCGAAGGGGCTTGGCTGTCGAAGAGGGGACTAATAAGCGTGGCTGTCGGACCCTGGGCCCCACGCGGTCGCCATCGTCTGGGGTGAAGGCTGCCTGAAGAGCCCGGTTGTGTCTATCCCCCACGGCGGG